TATTCTATACCCAAAGTGACCGAAGATAACTCATTTTTAGTCATGTGATGGATGGAGAAGTTGGGGCTGGCGGGGTGCTCAAGAAGCAAGGTGCTCAAGCGATTTAAAGGAAGCATTACTTGCTCACCAATGAATTAAGAGCTTCTGTCACTTGCCCGCTTCTCAGTTACATGCACCATGTATACCTGTGTGTGTTTACATATATGCATGTATACATATACACACGTATGTGCATATGTGCGTGTATACTGCCACGTACACAATAGGGTTACACCGTGTCGTACCCGATGTATGAAGTGGGAACAGGAAAGCTCCCAGTGCAGAGAAAACTGCTCTGTCTTGATCCTGTCAGTTCTGCTGCGCTTTGCTTATTAACCAGTATACTCTCTAGACTTTTTCCCACAATTAAAGGAAAACTACCACATAGCAGAAGATTTTAATTTTTTTTCTGAGTCTTGACAGGGTAGTTAAGCCATGTTTTACACCAGAGTTTGTACCCAGCCCTTATCTGCATAAGTTTGGTATGGACAAGTTTCTGGTAAATCCCAGTACTGGATTACACATCATCCCAAATGTGTCCTGATATTCTCAGGGTGACACTGACAGATCAGTGCAATGTAGGCAACACAGAATTCACAAGTCACAAACAATAATTAATGAAAAATAGATTTTTAAAATGTTTTAGGGAGACTTTAAAAATGGAATTGAAACTGCGTTGGTTTGTAGTCTCTCACCCGAAAGCCTTTGTTAATGTTAGACTAATCCCCAGAAAGAAAGAAAAGAAAATGTAATTAATACATTTTCAGAAAATCTTGTAATAACCAAAAGTAATTTTTTTCCATGCACAAGGACATCTCCATTTTGAAGTGCAATATTCACAGTCTATCTAGGGACATAAGTTAACTTCTAGTTCTGTAAATGCCTCCTTTATAGTCTCAAGATGTTAAAGCGCTCATGGATGTAGCTCTCTCAGTTCTGGACACTGGACCAATGCAGATTTTGCTTGGAAAACCACATTTTGCGAAAATAAGAAGGCAGGTATTTCTAGAAGGTCGGTCTTTAATATTGTCATCTGTCTGAAGCTGCTCAGAGAGTCGGAGTGCCAGATTAACTCCAACTTGTGATCATACCGCGGCTAAGGGCTCTGCTGTTACAAACGACTGACCCAATTCTATACGTGGATTTTGACAATGGGAGAGAGAAAAATGTATATTTAAATCGTGAACTTAGTCCCCTCTTTGCGTTTTGTGAGTTTTGTGAGCTGGAGTCACAGAAGTCACTGGAGTGATGAAGCTTACACTACCCTCGGCGGCATCAGGATCGGGCCCTTATATACTCACTATTTCCTATTCTGCTGCAATTTTTTTCCCAGTTCACTGTCCTGTTCTTGCCTAGCACAGACTTGCAGATTTTATGACCTGATATGATGGGCTCACCTCCTCAGAGGTGTGAGTTTTGGGGAGCCTCATACAAAGGTGAGCAGTGGGAAGTTGGGCCTGAATTTTTAAAGGGAATGGGGAAAGACTTAATCATATGAAGCCAAAACACTCTTGAGCCTTGGTGACCATACGCTCAAACGCCATCGCAGTATGAATCAAACATGGTGGGTCACAGCCGACCCTCTAATACAGAAATACTTAGAGGCTACAAAGCACTTGTCTTTCTCAAAGCATTTCATAAGCACCATCTAACTGGTGTCTGTTCCCAAGGATCAGTTTTCATTTCCAGGGTGGGGAAACTGAGGTACAAAACACCCAAAGCCCTGCCGCAAACTGGTAGCAGAGGTGGGAGCAAAACCTGGCGCCCAGCCTTCTGCCCAGGACATCGCAATTCAGACACGAGGCGCCGGGTCCAGCCGGTGTAAGGCTGAGACTTCCGTGACATTTGGATGCGAACACCCCTTGAGCTAGCCTAAGTACACATGTGTGTCGGGTCCATATATGCTGTTCCTCCAAAGAGCCCCCAGCCGTTCCTCTGGAATTCTGTACCACCAGGTTAATTCCTCCCAGGGATAGCTGGCTGTCCTTCCGCAGCTGCCTTTGTAAGGTGTCTGAATGTCAAACTGTTATTATTTCAATACCTGACTGAGAGAGTAACAGAGACCTGGAGGTTTTTTAGGAGGGTGTATAATTAGCCGATCAGTATTATGTTACCCTGTTCATAACTTAATAACCATTTTAATACAGATGGCACACACAGGGATAATTTCCTAGGGCAGCCTAGCAGTATATTACAGAGACAGTGTGTCTGAGGGAATCTTTCTTAGCCAAGGTACATTCCACTAGCTAATTCTACCTGCTGTTTTCAAGATGATTTGGGATAATTCCATATCATTTGCAAAATATTAAAACCCATTTATATAGGATGCCAGATTTAGAAATACACAGTCTGAGTTATTAGACATATTTTGATAAATCTGCCATGAAAAGCGCAAGACAAAAAATACCACTGCGTTTTCCCTGCTATTTATTTTTTGCTTCCCTCGCTATAAATACACCAGGTTTTAAAAAAAAAAAAAAATCTGGCCAAACTTGTCATATATCAAAAGGGCCAGTATACTGACTTGTGCGGTTTTATCTATGCCAATGCTACGAAAGCCCACTTGCATATTTACGTGTACCCCACACACATTTCTTTGAGTGGGAAGCGCCGTATATTTGGGATTTTGGAGGTATGCTCAATTTCATGTATTCTTAACCTGTCAGAGGGGTATTTCGTGCCTATGTATGTCCCCTTTGCAAATACCCCTGCGTTACTCTTTCTGGAGGTTGTATTTCTGTGGGCACAGCCAAGGTATCCGTCCATACATTGCACTAAACCCGCGTGATTACTTTTACTGTGTGCGTAAGAGCCTTGTGCCTTGCCGAAGTGTGAAGATGTGATGTATGTGGCGTTTGTATGTGCAGGCGTGTGAACAGCCTGAGCGCTTTGCAGTGTGTCAGTACTCGACCACATCTGTCACCGGCCTTTTTCTCCTGCATCGATCCTTCTTTTTTT